GGGCCGACGTAAGACTCGCCATCTTTAGTCGCGCATGTCGCGAACCCAGCGGGCCGGCGAGGCGCGAGTTAAGGCGCGAGCGCCTTGCAAAAAGCCTGAGTTTGCCGCGGACAAATTGCCGTCGATGCCGAGCATGGTGATAAGTGGTGATCACCGATTAATGGGCAGCAGCCATTAACGCGATGGCCAGCTTCGCGGGCCTCTCCTTCGGGAAGAGCGGCGCCGCGGAGGCGGCGCCGTCGCCGACGGTCGTCTACCGGCGGCGGCGCACGGAACCGGCCCTCGTGTCGTCGCCGGAGCAGAAGGCGGCGCGGCGGCGCAACGGCGCGGCCCGCGCGCCGTCGCCGGAGGCGCACCCGCGGCGGCGCAACGGCGCGGCCCGCGCGCCGTCGCCGGAGGCGCACCCGCGGCCGCGCGGCGACGTCGCGGCGCGGGAGCCCACGTGCCGCGTCGACTACCAGAGGCGCCTGCGGCACCGCGTCGTCGTCGCCGCCATGGGCGCGCCGGACGACGGCGACGACGCCGCGAGCCGCCTGCGCGAGATCGGCCGCGTCGAGCTATCCGTGGAGCCGACGGCGTCCTGCGACGCGCTGCGGACGCGCGTCGCCGAGCTGCTGGGCGTGCCCGTGGCGTCGTTCTGGTTGACGCTCGACAAGCGACTTTTGGAGGGGTCCTGGTGCCTCGGCACCTTCGGGATCCTGCGCAGCGGCGCCGTCGTGCGGCTCCTGCCGCGGGCGGCGGAGCTCTTCACGCCCGCGCTCTTCGCCGCGCCCGACGTCCGCGCGCTCTGCGCCGCGGTCGCGCGAGACGCGGTCGAAGCGGCGCTGCGCGACGCCGACGACCGCGCGGCGGAGGCGGCGGCGGCGGAGCTCCGCGCGGCCATGGCCGACGTCGTCGACGCGAGCCTCCCGCGGCGGGCTTCGACCGCGTCTCGCGCCACCGCCGGGCGCAGAACGCGCGGGCTCGGTTGGACGGGCGGCACGCGCCTGCTCGCGTCGGAGCGACATTAGGGTAACTGCGCCCGAGTCCACTAGTCGCGCTTAGGTTTCGCCTTGCGCTTGGCGACGGCGCTCGGCCGGTGGGGCATGAACCAGGCGAGGGCCTTGCAGGCGAGCACGGCCCAGGAGAACGAGTGGGCGAGGCCGAGGAAGTACCAGAAGTTGGCGTTGCCCGTCGCCGCGACCTGCCAGAGGTAGAGCGCGACGTTCGCGCCCGCGGGCGCCGCGCCCGCGGCGACGACGAAGACGGCGGCCTCGAGGAGCTTCGCGCGGAGGGACCGCTCGGCCTCGGCGCGGTCGTCCGCCGCGTCCAGCGCGTTGCGCGCGACGTCGGCGAAGCCGTCGTAGCCCAGGGCGGCGAGCGCCGCGGGCAGCGCCGCGTCCGCGAGCGTCGCCTCCGGTCGGAAGACGGACCCGAACGACAGCAGCAGCGCCGCGGCGAGCGCCGGGAAGGCGGCGAGGCGGTAGGCGACGGGCGCGGCGCAGAGCACGGGGTGGACGCCGAAGACGGCGCGGAGGAGCGGCGCGAAGCGGGAGAAGACGACGAGGTTCGCGTACCACCACGGCCCCGCGTTCGGCTCCGTCGCGGCCGCGCCGGCCGCGAAGGGGCCGGCCGCCGCGGCGGCGAAGGCGCGCGGCGTCGGCGGCGGCGGGAGGCCGAGGAAGGTGCGCGCCGCGGCGGCGGTCGCCGCCGCGGAGGCGGACGAGTGCGTCGGCGCGCGCGCGTCCGCGGGGAGCGCGGCCGCCGCGAGCGCGACGAGCGCGACGCCGCACGCGATCGGCACCACGGCGGCGGCCGCGCGGCGCCGCCGCCGCACGCCGAAGAGCACGACGGCCGGGAGCGCCGCGAGCGCCGGGAGCGCGTCGACGGCGGCCGCGGCCGCGACGGCCGCGCCCGCGGCGACGAGCGGGCCGCGGGCCGCGAGGGCCAGCGCGCCGACGAGCAGAAACTGGTACCAGGCGAGCAGGCTCCCCGCCGCGCCGGCGACGGCGAGGGCCGGGTTCAGCAGGTAGCAGGCCGTCGCGGAGCGCCGGCCGCCGCCGAAGACGGCGTCGAGCAGGAAAGCGGTCGCGGCGTCGCCCGCGCACGCGGCGGCGGCGCCGGCGCGCGGCCCGAGCGCCCAGAGGCGCGCGCCGACCTCGGCGAGGAGCCGCGGCGATCGGCAGGCGCCGCCGACGCCGTGGCGGCGGCGCAATGCGCACTCGTGCATCCGTTCCAGGCTGAGCGTCGGGGAGCACCAGACGCTCTCGTCGACGTAGTGGTCGCGCGACGACCACCACGCGACGGCCGCGACGCGTATGGTGATGAGCGCTATGGTTATGATGATTGGCCGGCTGGGCGCGAGGCGCGCAGCGCCGGCCATTGCGCCCGCGACTTGTGGCAAACAGCGAGGGAAGAGCATCTCAAGTGCAGCTCAACATCGCGCCGCGCCGCCGATGGTCGCGCTGCGAATCGCGATGCTCCTGTTATCCTGCGCGCGCGCGTTTCGCTCCATCGCACCGCGCATAGCACAGAAACGATCGCTGCGGCGCTTCGCGAGCGGCGCGGAGGACCTCGCGTCGCTGCGCGCCTCCCTGGCCTGGGCGTCGGAGACCGTGGGCTCGCTGCGGCCCGAGGCCGGCGTCGTCGCGGGGTGGCGGAGCGAGGCCGCGGACCTCGAGGCGTCGTCCGGCGCGCCCGAGTTCTGGGACGACGCCGGCGCCGCGCGCCGCGCGCTCGCGCGGTTGACCGCGCTCAACGGCAACGTCGACCGCGTCGAGGCGTGGGACGCGCTCCTCGGCGACGCGGCGGCGGCCGTCGACGCGCTCGGCGGCGTGTCCGACGCCGAGGAGGCGGCCTACTACGGCGAGGTCGCCGCGGAGGCGCTCGCGGAGCTCCGCGCGGCCGCGGCGGCGCACGAGCTCGAGGCGGCGATGACGGGCCCCTACGACGGCTGCGACTGCCGCCTGGAGATCACGGCGGGCGCCGGCGGCCTCGACGCCCAGGAGTGGACGGCCATGGTCGCGCGCATGTACGCGCGCTTCGGCGAGAAGCGGGGGTTCTCCGTCGTCGAGGCGGAGCGGTCCGAGGGCGACCACCCCGGCTGCGTCAAGGGCGTGTCCCTCGAGATCCGGGGCGCGAACGCCTTCGGCCTGTTCCGCGGCGAGAAGGGCGCCCACCGCCTCGTGCGCCAGTCGCCCTTCAACTCCGCGGCGAAGCGGCAGACGTCGTTCGCGTCCGTGGAACCGACGCCCGACCTGCCCGACGACCACCCGGACCTGCCCGCGGACGTCGCCGAGCTGGACCCGGCGGACCTGGAGGTGACGACGGCGCGGGCCGGCGGGGCCGGCGGGCAGAACGTGAACAAGGTCGAGACGGCCGTGCGCGTGACGCACGTCCCGACGGGGCTGCGGGTGCGCTGCGCGCGCGAGCGCACGCAGGGCGCGAACAAGGCCATCGCGCTGACCATGCTCCGCGCGAAGCTCGTGGCCGCGATGGCCGAGCAGCGCGCGGCGACGCTCGCGGACATCCGCGGCGACCGCGTCGCCGCGGACTTCGGCGCGTCCGTGCGGTCCTACGTGCTCCACCCCTACAAGCTCGTCAAGGACGACAGGCACGAGACGCCGCACGCGACGGACGTGC